ATAAAATGCTCAAATCCTAAAATTACAATCTATTCCTTCTTTGATAGATGCTTAAAACTGTTCTCTTTACATCTTGAAATATAACATTGATATTTAAGAAACTATATACTCTTAAGAATTACTTCAGTGCTGGCCGGGCGCGGTGGCTCAAGCCTGTAATCCCAGCATTTTGCGAGGCTGAGGCGGGTGGATCATGAGGTCAAGAGATTGAGACCATCCTGGCCAACATGGTGAAACCCTGTCTCTACTAAAAAATATAAAAATTAGCTGGGCATGGTGGCATGCGCCTGTGGTCCCAGCTGCTTGGGAAGCTGAGACAGGAGAATCGCTTGAACCTGGGAGGTGGAGGTTGCAGTGCGCCGAGATCGTGCCACTGCACTCCAGCCCAGCACCTGGCAACAGAGCGAGACTCTGTCTTAAAAAAAAAAAAAAAAAAAAAATATAGTAAGAATTAGTTCAGTGCTGTGGCAATCTCCCTCATGAGGACCTACATCCAAAAAGTCCTGAAAACTGGGAGGAGGCCAAGGCTTCCCCAGCCTCCGACTGTAGAGAGAACGGTCAGGTGGGCAGCCAGCATTAAGGAGCACTTCTCTGGAGGTGCTGCCCCCCGTTCAGGGGCATTTGAGCACTTCCAGCTTCCCTCCTGAGACAGGAGAGAAAGGAGGTAGTTCTAACAGTGCTCACCATTCTGTGCGAACAATTTCCAGAGAAGCACATAGCTCCTTTTAGACCACGAGGAATACTCCTGTGAAGAAGTCAGGCAGCACCGCCTTGGGGGCTGCATCTTCACTTAGTCTCTTTGTCCACACCACTCCACAAACACAAGGCCGAAGCAAGTCAGGCCGCTCTTCAGGGCCCTGTCCTTAACTCACCTTCGGTGAACTCACTTTCTAAAGATGGAGTGGAGCCCTACATGATTCCTAACAAAGGACGCATTTAGGGTTGCCAGCTACCCAGGTTTAGCCTGGGCCGTCTGGGAAAGCACAAGGCTCCTCTGAATCCTGAGGTCACCTTTAATTAACTGCAGGGGCTGCTCTCTGAGTTCTCGGGGATGGACACCCGCTAGTGCTATGCTCATCCCATCCCTGTGGCTGCCTTCGGCACAACCCAAACCGCCAGAAACCTTAACCTTAAAAGGAGAAGAACAGTATTAGGAATAGGAGGATTTGTTTTTCCAGGTGCAAACTGTAGGTACAGCATCTTACTCTTATTAACTTAAATGAAAGCCACTGAGAATGAACCGAACTGTTACCACTGAGTAAAAGGACTCTCTTTCATAGTGTCGAAAGTGTCTGAAGAAGGTAAAACTTCACTACCATTTCTTAACCAACTGCCTTGGATTTTTCCCATTCATTCTATTGCGTTTCTTATACATTATTGTCTGTGAAGTACACTTTTATTCTCTGGTTTCTTTCATTCTAAGCTTAAGTTGCTACCACAGAGAACAATCTAGGAAAATCTCCCTCTTGGAAAATGTCCAGAATATTATTGTTTTAAAAGTAGATTTGGCCGGGTGCGGTGGCTCACGTCTGTAATCCCAGCACTTTGGAAGGCCAAGGCAGGCAGATCATGAGGTCAGGAGATCGAGACTGTCCTGGCCAACATGGTGAAACCCCATCTCTATGAAAAATACAAAAATTAGCCGGGCATGGTGGCCCAAGCTTGTAATCCCAGCTACACAGGAAGAGGCTGAGGCAAGAGAATCACTTGAACCTGGGAAGCGGAGGTTGCAGTGAACCAAGATCGAGCCACGGCACTCCAGCATGGGAAACAGAGCGAGACTCCATCTGAAAAAAAAAAAAAAAATTCAAAAAAAAAAAAAAAAAAAAGTAGATTTGGATGGGCACAGTGGCTCATGCCTCTAATCCCAGCACTTTGGGAGGCTAAGGCTGGCAGATCACAAGGTCAAGAGATCGAGACCATCCTGGCCAAGATGGTGAACCCCGTCTCTACTAAAAAATATACAAAAATTAGCTGGGTGTGGTGGCACGCGCCTGTAGTCCCAGCTACTCGCGAGGCTGAGGCAGGAGAATCACTTGAACCCAGGAGACAGAGATTGCGGTGAGCTGAGATCACGCCACTGCATTCCAGCCTGGCACCTGGCGACCAAGCAAGACTCAGTCTCAAAAAAAAAAAAAAAAAAAAAATTTGTTTTCTAGACAATAGACAGGATGAGCCCACGGAAGGTATTCAGCTACTAGTCAGCCTTAGTATTCCGCCACCTGGCAACACAGACTCTGTACTACGTCTAGAGATACAAATTACATCATTAACTTGAACTACTGAGAAGCAGTGTGATACAGTTGAAAAAAGTTTTAAAATCACTCTAGGTGACCTTACGGAAGTTTTTGAATGTTTTTGAGCATGCTTTCTCATCTTTGATTCACTCAATAATCATTTATGAGGGCACTCAATATGTACCAGCTTCTGCTGTGGATGCTGCAAACACCTATAGAAAAACAGAATTCTCAGCCGGGCGTGGTGGCTCATGCCTGTAATCCTAGCACTTTGGGAGACTGAGGTGGGTGGATCACCTGAGGTCAGGAGTTCAAGACCAGCCTGGCCATCACGGTGAAACACCATCTTTAAAAAAAAAAAAAAAGAAAGAAAAGAAAAGAAAAACAGAATTCTCTTCCAGAATTTTTTTGGGTTTTTTTGAGACGGAGTCTTGTCTGTCTCCCAGTCTGGAGTGCAGTGGTGCGATCTCGGCTCACTGCAACCTCCACCTCCTGGGTTCATGCAATTCTCCTGTCTCAACCTCCCAGGTAGCTGGGACTACAGGCCTGCGCCAACAAGCCTGGCTAATTTTTTCTGAATTTTTAGTAGAAATGGGGTTTCACCATATTAGCCAGGATGGTCTCGATCTCCTGACCTTGTGATCCGCCCGCCTCGGCCTCCCAAAGCTGGGATTACAAGGTGTGAGCCACCACGCCAAGCCCCAGAATTATTTTTAATAGAAGTGTGTTCATATATAGATAAATGGATAGATATATACACACAAACACACATAGAATATAAGTATGGGTTGAATATATATATATACATGAAAGTGCCTGTCAAGTAGTAAGTGCTGGAAAATTGCTGGCCACTATTACTATATTTTACATCTGACTTGCGGTCAGAGGGTTTAGAAGTACAGTGCACAAAAGTGTCCTCATTTCTATATAAAACTGCCAATAGTTGATTATCATTTTACTCCAAGGAATATGATGATTAAAACCTTCAATTTTGCCCTGTCTCCTAACTGGAGTCCTTTAAGCTAAGTACTCTTCTCACCTCTCTTCTTTCCAGACATTAAATTGAAAACCTTAAAGGGGCAGATTACTAAGAGGGCCAACTCTCCACCTCTGAGTTCCCCAAACTTGTCTGATCACATAATTCACCTGGATCCCACCCCAGATCTAAAGAACAAGAGCTCCACAGGCATGGCCCCTCTGCAAACACACAGCCCTACAATGCCCCAGGAGATTCTTCCAACAGGTTTTAACTCCCCTGCAAATAGCTGAGGTCACTCTCCTCAAGTTCCTTCCAAGGCATGCTCTCTGACCCTTCCTCCATGGCTTAGTTTAGCACTAACCAACACTTGGCCAGAATCAACTCTTTCAGCTGGGCCTCCAACATCTCACCAAGGCACATTTTGGGGAGGAGAGGGTTTCTGCCTCTTAATAAGTCCTTTCTAGAATTTCACTTATAAAAGGATCATTTAAGGCTGGGTGTGGCTCATGCCTATAATCCTAGCACTTTGGGACGCCAACGCGGGCCAATCGATTGAGCACAGGACTTCCAGACGAGCCTGAGCAACAGGGTAAGACCCGACTCTAAAACACACACACACACACACACACACACACACACACATATTAGCTGGGAACAGCAGCACTTGCCTGTAGTCCCAGCTACTCAGGGCTGAGGTGGAAGGACCACTTGAGCCCAGGAGCCAGTGGCTGCAGTGAGGGGCAATCACACCACTGCACCCCAACCTGGGCAACAGAGCCAGGCTCTCTCAAAAAAAAAAAGAAAAAAAAGGAAAAAGACAAAGATCATTTTTAAAAGGGATCATTTGAAACTACCACAAATCTTTTAAAAGTTGTATTTTTTAAAATAATAACAAACAAAATGTTCGTAAGTGAAGGCCCATATTTTCATGGAACAGAAATACAGCTATTTGTTCGAATTTTCCAAATCAATTCAGAATCTAACAGAGGCATGAAAAAGTCATGTATTCTCTGAAGAACATTCATTTCTTTAAAATAGCAAGGAATAAAAAGCTAGGTTTGCACTCCAGGTGACACATGCCTTGCATCTTCATTTGTTTAATTAAATATTTATTAGTTACCTACTTTGAGGAAAAAACTCAAGAAACCCTGGAAACACAAAAATGTCTATAATATAGCCCATGTTTCAAAGAGATTAAGGCAGGAGAAGACACACTGACTAGGTGCCCAAAGAAAGGCACTAAATTTGTTTTTTTATTTCCATAGGTTTCCAGGGAACATGTGGCATTTATATGAGTAGGTTCTTCAGCGGTGATTTGTGAGATTTTGGTGCACGCATCACCGGCGCAGTACACACTGAATCCAATTTGTAGTCTTACCCCTCACCTCCTTCCCTCCCTTTTCCCTGGAGTCCCCAAAGTCTACTGCATCATTCTTGTTGAAAGGCGCTAAGTTTAAATGGCACATTCAAACTGGGAATCCAGCCTCCAAGCCATCAAATGAACATTTACTGTGAACCCATGATGAAAAAACCCTTTAAATCAAAAATCATCCCTACTCACCAATAAGGGAGACAAGGAGATTATTAGACAACAATGAAAAAGTCGAGTCCTCTGAAAATACAAAGTGCTAGAAGAAATTTAAGAAAATGAGAAGTTGGCCAGGCGCAGTGGCTCATGCCTGTAATCCCAGCACTTTGGGAGGCCAAGACAGGTGGATCATGAGGTCAAGAGATCGAGACCATCCTGGTCAACATGGTGAAACTCCGTCTCTACTAAAGCTACAAAAAATTAGCTGGGCATGGTGGCGCGTGCCTGTAATCCCAGCTACTCAGGAGGCTGAGGCAGGAGAATTGCCTGAACCCAGGAGGTGAAGGTTGCAGTGAGCCGAGATCGCGCCATTGCACTCCAGCCTGGGAAAAAAAGGAAACACTCTTCTCAAAAAAAAAAAAAAAAAAAAAGAAAATGAGAAGTTATCCAAAATGATGGCTCTGAAACATAACGAGGATATGCAAAGAAAAAGGGAGATAATTTTGACTAGGCCACAATAAGAGCACTCTAAACACAATGTAATAATTCTTCATACCACTCCTGGACAAGAGGAGACCATGCCTTTCAATAGCATTTGATATCAGTTAATGTACCTCCTGCCAGAGAAATTAGGTCACAAAAATGACAGCTATGGTATGAAGAGCTCATTGAGTGGAGTTGTATCAATCCATTTATATACACAGCAATATATATATGCACATAAAAAGTGTATATACTATACATACACATATTATATACACAGACACACACACAAACGCACACAAGAAAATATACTCTCAGAGGTTGGACATGGTGGCTCACACCTGTAATCCCAGCACTTTGGGAGGCCGAGGCGGATGGATCACCTGAGGTCAGGACTTCGAGACAAGCCTGGCCGACATGGTGAAACCCGATCTCTACTAAAAATATAAAAATTAGCCAGTCATGGTGGTACATGCCCGTAATCCCAACTGCTCCAGAGGCTGGGGGAGGAGAATCCCATGAACCCAGGAGACGGAGGTTGCAGTGAGCTGAGATCATGCCACCGTGTACTCCAGCCTGGGTGACAGAGTAAGACACCATCTCAAAAAAAAAAAAAAAAAAAAAAGAGAGAACATATATACTCACAGAGAGTACATGTATACATTACTATCACACCCTTGCAATTTGACCATTTTTCAGGAGTTCTGGAATGAATGGTAAACATTTTTTGGTAGCAAATAGTATGTAATTTTCCTTAAGATCTTATTTGTGTTTAAATTTAAATCTTTCCATTAGAACTTTTATTTGACGTTTTGAGTATACATACTTTCCATCTCATGTTTAGGCTTTGGCATCCCATCACTTAAATGAAAATTGTGTCCATGTTTTGGTGAATGATCCAACTATACTCAACATCAAATATCTCACAAGAAAAAACAGAGGGAACAGAACCTACTATGCAATCATTACATGCCAGAGACAAGTTCAGATGAATACAACAGAATATATGTGCTTTCTTTCCCTCTATCCCTTTTGTAACTTGGTTTTCCAGTCTGAGGAACTAAAGAATTCTAACACTTAATGCATTTCCAACATGAGTACAGAGATGACTTAGACCATTTCTCTTAAACAGAAATCAAAGTTTTTCCACAAGTACTAACGATGTTAAGAATGAATAAAATGTTTAAAGGTTAGAAAATGCGACAGGTTCAATTGCACACCTACTCCCAGATTTCTAGATGACTCGCTGTGCTTTCGGGATAGATTATCTTAATGTGCTTACATGGTTTGCAAATATTAATAAACTCCCTGAATCATCTCAATATTAAAATGCCCTTTTTCCACTCCAGAGATCTACTTTTAACCATTTTCCTCTAAATTCAAGTCAGTTAATAAAATAAGGAAACTCTGATCTGCAAAAAATGGCTTAGGGAAATCTCACTTGACACTGCAACAGATAGATGAAAAAAAATAACAATAATAAGTGTATCTATATACCGGCCTGAGGTAGAGCAAGGAGGAGTAGAGAGGCATATGGAGACTGTGTAGGATACATCTTCGATATTTACTGTTGCATTTTTTGTCACAAAGTATATATAACAAAAAACTTACTGTTTTCTGCATTCAACTTAGTGGCATTACATACATTCAAAACGTTGTACAACCATCACCACTGTTCATTTCCAGAACCTTTTTATCATCCCAAACCGAAATTCTATACCCGTGAAACTCTCTCTCCTTTTTCCCTTCCCCAAGCCCTGGTAACCTCTATTCTACTTTTCATCTCCATGAATTTACCTATCCTAGTCACCTCATGAAAGTGAATACATACAATACTTATCTTTTTGTATCTTATTTCACTTAGCATAGTATTTTCAAGATTCATTCAGGTTATGGCAGGTATTAGAATTGCATTCTTTTTATGGCTGAATAATATTCCATTGTAGCATAATATTCCAATATAGAATATCATGTTTTATTTATCCATTCATCTATTGATGGGCATGGGTTATCTCCACCTTTTAGGTATTGTGAATAATGATGCTATTAACACTGGCTTATAAGTACCTGAGTCCCTGCTTTCTTTTGCGTATAGGATTGGAACTGCTGAATCATACAGTAATTCTATGTGTAAATATTTATGAACTACAAAACTGTTTTCCACAGTAGCTGTATCATTTAACATTCCCAACAGCAGTCATTGAGGATTGCAGCTCAATATATTTAAGTATTATCTAATTCACTAATTCAGAATAATGTTTACCTCTATTATTCTTAATCAGGATTATTTTTCCTGAGACTAAAAAAACCATGATGAAAAATCAGAAACGGCATCTAAAGACTTTTATTATTTTCTTTCCCATTGAACGATTTAAATAAAAGATATAGAAGGTATAGAATGGGTTTTTAAAACCTTTAAAATATTAAGAGAAAGTGAAGCAGAATATCCTAGAAATACATTAAGTATCCTATATGTAAAATGTGTACTATAAAAACTGGTCAAATCTGACCCCTAAGCAGTCACATACTAGAAAACCTCGTATCTGAGTAACCAAGTATAAAACGTAAAATATTGTCCTGAAGTCTTCTAAAAGAAACTTACTCTCTTTACCGGCAAGTTCATACAGTACCTGGAACTAAGCTGCCCAGGAGAATCTTGCTTTAGTAAAATCAGAGGAGGAAGACGGGTACAGCTTACTGAAATACTAAACTCACGACTCCCACAATTCTGCCCAAATGCAAAGGCAGGAGAAATGAAGCTGAAAGCAATAATGATGCACCTTAAACCTTTAACACCTGCTCTCACCAATCTGCCCTCAAATGCTTACAGGTGACCAAAGAAATCAATAAGCAGCAAAACAAATCTCAATAGAAAAACTCCAAAACCAATAAACAGGCACAGCTGGAGTCTATTGGTAGAGTGGGGTGCGGTGGGGGAGATAGATATTGTGCTTATTGTTGTGATATATTTTGCAAGAAAATAATATAGTGCTACCCATTGCTGGTCAGCTGTTTCTCGTTCACATAATGGCATTGAGTCAATCAACATTTATTTCATGGCAATCAAAGAGAACCAACTTTCCATGGGCTCCTGAATCTCTATGAAATGCCCAGCAGCAGACCAGCATTAATGAACACATTCTGCATTTTCACACTGCTTTTAAGTAAACTGATTTTCCAAAGGTGCTTAACAGTGGTTTGTTCTTTTAATTAGGTAAATATTCCTCTTAAGATCTATTTAAACTTCTGATATTTATAGTAAAACCTTTTCATAAAGAATAGGCAGCCAAACTTTATCCTAGCCTTGCCTGGATAATTGCAAATCCCTAGTTAGTTACATGTAGAACAATGGAGTTATTTTTAATAGAGACCCCTCTTTCATAGGCCATGGGGAATCTTAAATCCCTTAAAAATAAATTAAATCATTCTATTTCCTAGAATTTTAGAATCTTCAACTATTTCTAAAACATACTACCTTTGTTCATGTATAAATATCACTTTCTAGACAATTATTTCAATAATTGTGCATTCGGATCATGTCAGTTTAAGTAAATTTTTCTGACTAGTTGGCCTTTATGAAATCTTTACTACTCTTTCCAGGGTCCTTAAAGATGGATCCTTAAATTTTAATATAATTTAGAAGCCTTGAAGTCTAACACAGCCTGAAGGTCCTCCAATTTTAATATTGCTCCCATTTCAGAAGGTAGTAAAGAAACGAACTTACCACCATCCAGCCCTAGGAGTTTGGTGGTAGATACTCTATATGAGACTCTAAAAACATCAGAACACAGTAGAATATTCCATTAACAAAGAACCTGGTCTAGATCTCAATGAATGCATTCTGAGTCAATAAACAAGTAACTGAAATAAAATTACATTTTAAAATCAAATATAATCATTTAACAGAAGACACACTTTGATACTTCCTAGAACTTCAAATAACACTGTGACTCAACACCATCTCGGAAAAATCCCCCACCATCCCCCAAAATGGTTATTTGAAACTGACAATGTGTTTTAATGATATTACAAAAATAAAACAGGACCATGCAAGGTGGCTCATACCTATAATCCCAACACTTTGGGAAGCTGAAGCAGGGAGACTGCTTCAAGCCAGAAGTTACAGACCAGCCTAAGCCACCACGAGACCTTGTCTCCGTAAAAGTAAAAAGGTATTAGCCAGGCATGGAGGCGTGAACGCACAGTCCTAGCCATAGTCCTACTTGGGAAGCTGAGGTGGAAGGATCACTTGAGCCCAGGAGTTCGAAGCCATAGTGAGCTATGACAGAGCCACTGAACTCCAGCAACAGTGAAACAGTGAAAAAGAAGAAGAATAAAAAGTTACAAGCTGATGTATAAGCTGACATCAACCATCGCCAAGGGCATCAGAAATTCCGATCCAACACTTGCGAGAATGCTGAACTTGCATATCTTAACTGGGAGAAATGAAAAATTCAAGAAGTGATCCATTTTCAAACTGACAAACATCCTCATCTGTATGTAGATGGCTGATTATGACAGTCTATCAATCTTACGTGATTTATACTTGGTGGTTTTAAAAACATTTCTGGGCCGGGGCAGTGGCTCACGCCTGTAATCCCAGCACTTTGGGAGGTCGAGGCAGACCAATCACAAGGTCAAGAAATCCAGACCATCCTGGCCAAGATGGTAAAACCCTGTCTCTACTAAAAATAAAAAAATTGGCTGGGCACGGTGGTGCACACCTGCAGTCCCAGCTACTTGGGAGGCTGAGGCAGAAGAATCATCTGAAGCAGGGACGCAGAGGTTGCTGTGAGCCGAGATCTCATCACTGCACTCCAGAGACAAAGCGAGACTCTGTCTAAAAAAAAAAAAAAATTAAATAAAAACATTTATGTCCCCTGATCTTCAATTGCCACCCCACATACCTTCTGTTTCCAAAGACTGGTCCTTGACATTAAACGTGCATCACAAATACTTCCCTCCAGGTGAGCTTGTTCCTAGGGACTGGCCTCTCACCGGATGTACCTTGCAAAGTGCTCAAGCATCATCAAGTCATTCTCCCAGTTGGGCCTGAGCTTGTCCAGCTGCCCCTATCTAGCCACAATAATTCAAGCATGCTCTGCCTCTTTAAAACACATAATGTTGGCCGGGCGTGGTGGTTCACGCCTGTAATTCCAACACTTTGGGAGGCCGAGGCGGGTGGATCACGAGGTCAACAGATCGAGACCATCCTGGTCAACATGGTGAAACCCCGTCTCTACCAAAAATACAAAAAATTAGCTGGGCATGGTGGCGCGTGCCTATAATCCCAGCTACTCAGGAGGCTGAGGCAGGAGAATTGCCTGAACCCAGGAGGCAGAGGTTGCGGTGAGCCGAGATCGCGCCATTGCACTACAGCCTGGGTAACAAGAGCAAAACTCCGTCTCAAAAAAAAAAAAACAAAAACACATAATGCCATAACCATACTATATATTTTAAGGCAAATTATATATATAAAGACACTCAGCAAACTAAAGAACAAAGCTTCTCCTCAACCACCTAAGTGAATTCTCAACAGCTTTAAGAATGAAAGTTAATGTACTTGAAAATAATGTCTTACCACATAAAAATCTCACTTAATGGATTAACCTCATTAACATGAAAAAAAGGCAAGTATGATTTCTAAAGTGGAAAGGCAGGTAAGGTTGCAAAGATTCCCCCACGCTGCAAATATGATTCTTTTCCATTCTCAGCTGTAATTGCTGAAATCTCAGGTAATAAGCTAAGGTAATGCACAAAGACTAAAGCCTTATGCCTCTATCATTCAGTGCTGAAAGTTCCTCTAAGAGACTGCACTTTTTCCCCCTTCACCTCAAAAACAGCCCTGAATCAAGCCTGGCCTGTCCACTTCAGCAACACTAGCTCAGCTAAGACCAACTTCCCAAACGCACAGATATGAGACAACTCATGTACAGCACAACTTTCGAGAGGTCGCAAATCACCTATTCCATTAGGAGTGGGGTAAAAATAAAACACAGTATCTAAAGCTGGGACCTTATTTACTAATCACAAAGAAAAATAAAGCATTTTTCAAACTGTCCAAGCACGACTTGGAGGGCTCTGAAAATGTACAAAGAAATACCACAGGACCAGCTCAGTTTTAAACTTTGGAATTGAATGAACTATGGAGTCTGCATAAGGCTTTGCCAAACACTTTTCAATATAATGACTCACTAATCCTTTGTGACAACCATTTGAAAAGATATGAGTTGGATCTTTCCTCCTTATATTAAAATGAGGAAACCCAGACTTAGAGAGGTTCAAAAGCTTATCAGGGACCCAGCTGGAAAGTAAAGTCACTCCTACAAGGGAGATATTCCAATTTCAGACTGATGCTCAAATGTGGCCCTCATCTTTGTCCATCATTGAAACATCTTTATCCTTCAAGATTATAGTAAATTTCTCATTTGTATGAAGCATTTGGGAATGTCCTACAAATCAAGCCATACGTCATGGGTTAAGTCACGTTTCCTATATTTGTCACACTCACTAGGACACTATAATCCTATTTATAACATGGTTCTTATCCTGAAAATAGTACAGCGGTCCCAATGGTCAGGAATGGGTATGAACTCGATGTTTCAGTTACCTGAACGGTCTCAGTAACTGATGCCTTACCTGCAGCTGAATTAACAATTTTCAAAGAGCTGGAAGCAATGTAATTCACATAACACTAAAATAACATAGAACAATTTAAAGATAATTTACAGACATAGGTCCTTCAGGATATGTCCCGAGTTAAGACTATGAACTGCAATTATCCTTGGACAGTCCTATAACTATGGAAGGTACAGTAGATTCAGATATATTTATACTGAACCTGGCAGCTGCCTCTTAAAAATCCTAATAAAAAGAGACTACATTATAATTTGCCTTTTCCTGAGGGTAGCGCGCGCGCGCGCGCACACACACACACACACACACACACACACACACAGACACACAAAAGGTACTGGGTTATTGGATATGTATAGCTAGAATCCAATCCAAATTAAAGAATGCTTACTTTAACATGAGTTGGAATTTTCACTATTCCATACGAAATCAGAAAGTTGTTGAAATTCCTTTTAGCAAATGAAACTCTAAAATACAATGAATTTAAATTAAATCCACTAATCAGAATACTATTTGATCATCTGCCATAAAGACGCTCTTTCTGTTTTAATCTTATACATATTCTTCCCCATTCACAGATGAATCCAATGTGTTTAATATTTGATTTTTATACTCTGATAGTAAGAGAATGATTTTAATTCTTCAGATTAATTCTGCAGCTACATGAGGAAAAGTGAATAATGGGATTTACTGATACTTATGAAGTCATTTGAAAAGAACTGTCAAATAAACAGATGAACATGGGTGTGAGAGGATCGGTTTTTCAACTTTCTATTAGTGACTTTTCACATTGCTTCCTATTTATACACCTTTATTACACTAAAATAACCAACAATCTCTGACTACTTTTTCAGCAACTCCTATATTAAACCAAAAACATATATCATTTAAAGTTTTTTTTTTTTTACCAGTTTTAACTATGACATGTAAGCACTGCTTTTTAAAACCAAATAGTTAACAAATAATGTGCATATTTTATCCACTCTCCATATGAAAGAAGTTGAGCTATAGCTAACTCAGTCTTTAAATTCCATTTAAGGACTGAATGTAATTTCTGATATCATAGAAGAAAGAAAAATGAACCAAGACATCTAAAGAGCAGTATGCAGCCAAGACTACATAGTGAGACCTGTCTCTACAAAAAATAATAGTAAACAGCCTGACATGGTGGCGTGCACACCTGTAGTCCCAGCTCCTGGAGAGGCTAAGGAGAAAGGATCATTTTAGTCTGGGAGGTGGAGGCGACAGTGAGCCCTGATTCTGCCACTGCACTCCAGCCTGCTGAGGCTCAAAACAAAGAGCAAGATTACCCAGCTACATGTGAAAAGATTTGGGAATCAAAAAGTTCTATACTTTGCTCTCCAATATGGTAACAACCAGCCACAAGTGGCAATTTAAATTTAAAATAATTACAAGTAAATAAAACTTAGGCCAGGTGTGTTGATTCACACCTGTAATCCCAGCACTCTGGGAGGCTGAGGCAGGTGGATTACCTGAGGTCAGGAGTTCCTGACCAGCCTGGGCAACATGGTGAAACCCCATCTCTACTAAAAAATACAAAAAATTAGCCAGGTGTGGTGGCGGACACCTGTAATCACAGCTACTCTGGAGGCTGAGGCAGGAGAATTGCCTGAACCCGATAGGAAGAGGTTGCAGCAAACTGAGATCCGGGCACTGCACTCCAGCCTGGGTGACAGAGGGAGACACCATCTCAAAAAAAAAAACAAAAACAAAAAACCAACAACAACTTAAACTGCTGTTCCTCAGTCTACTAATTACATTTCAAAGACTCACTTACATGTGCCTTGTGGCTGCTGTATTGGACAGCACAGACAGAGCCATTACCAACACTGAAGAAAATTCTATTGGATGGCACTGTTGGTAGCTACGCGATCTTATGCAAGTTACTTAATTCTGGGAATCTCAATGCCCTTGTTTATAAAGCGTGCATAATACCACCTAAATCGAAAGACTATTAGAATTTTAATGAGATAATGTATAAAAGCACAGGAAATAGTGCTCAGTACACATCAGATATCCCAGAGAGGTAGCTATTAACACAATCCTGTATTAAACTTTGGTCTTTAATGGTGACCCTCAATAAGTCACTTTCCTTCCTAGGCCTCCTTTTCTAAAACCAAAAAGTGTGGGAAGTTCTTCCAGTTAGCTTCTAATGAACCTATCAATCAAATGCTACTGGGTTAAATAAAGAATTGAGCAAAAGGAGCACAAACTCCTACTGAGTAAACTACCACCTAGACTCCAAGAGCCTAGAGCTTCCTTACAGATCCCACGCATTCTTCAAGAAACCCCAGAAGACTGGCTCTCCAACATAACCATCGTCTGATGTGAGCTATTTATAAAGTCTGTCTTAAAAGATTACCGGAATATCTTTCTGTAATTGTATATACTGTAATTAGAAGCTACAACCTCCTATTTTATGATGAGATCCTGCAGTTTTAACATCTTTTAAATGAACACTATCTTTACAGATGAATTCTTTTTTATCTTTAAGTCATTTAAACCACAACACTTTAAAAGCACGTGTGAGTTTAAAAACTATTTTGTAATGACCGATTTTTTTTTTTTTAATCAACTATGCCTCATTCTCAGCCACCCTGTGGGTGCCCCTCTGGTGTCTAAACAAAGTGAGAATTGTACCTTCATGGGTGAGGTCCCTTTGCAGGGCCAGAAACTTGCCCAGAGACTTTATCCTTGTTAACAGCTGCTCCCAGGGAGCCAGGAAATTTACTGATCCAGTAAATTTCAGAATCAGCCTCCAACGAGGGGGAACCAAGGGCCCCCACAAAAGACACAAAAGCAGCCCTCCCGGCTGCTATCCGCTGTGGGGCGGTGACCAGGCACCCAGGGTCACAGCTTTAACTTAGGGGTGGAGGAGCAACTCCGGCAGCAGAAATCATTACAGAGTTAAGCAATTTTGCCCAGGGCCTGAAGCCTCAAAAAAAAAAAAAAGTGTTATTCCAGAGCAGATTCCTTTTCTTCCGGGTCTGTCTGCCCCTTTGACTCTTTGCCCACAACCACCGTGCCTCCCCATTCCCAATGCCCCACCTCTTGCCACATTTATTAAAAAAAAAAAAAAAAAAAGAGGGGGAGGAAGGAGGGAGGGAAAGAGAAGGAGAAGAAGAAAAGAAAAAGAATAAAGAAAGAAAACGATTTTAAAAAGCATATTCCCTCTTCCTTAGCTTTTTTTAGCAAGGCCTGGAAACTGGAGGAAATTCAAATCAAATTAGTTGCACATTAAAAAATAAACAGACAAGCAATCAGGGGGTGCCCACCCAACAAAAGACCTCACCCGTTCCAAAATATGATTAAGCCTGGGAGGGAAGGGGGGGAGGGGGACTAAAAACCAGCAGGGATGGAGAGAGAAACCTGTGGCTTTTTGGCCCCAGCGTTGGCCCACTGCGGCCAAATTCTGAATTTTGTTTAAAGAAAATGCTGGGTCGAGGAGAAAAGAAAATAAAAAGTTGCAACTTTTAAGGAAGTCTGTCTGGATAAAATGCCATTGCTTCCCTCCGTCTGGGAAGGCAGGGGGGGAGCTGAGATTCCAAAAGCTCCAGCTCCGACCGCGCACTCCTGGAAGCCTCCCCGCCAACGGCGCCGCTAGGCGGGCCAGCCCCGTCTCCCGAGACGGCGGGCCCGGGCGCTCTGGCTCCCACGGGACGCCCGCACCCCGACCTCCGGGGAAGTTCGCAGGCACAGCCCGAGGCCGCACTCTCCGCCGGGAGTGACAGGCCCTTCCCACGCCGGCCGGCCCCGGCCTCGCCGCGGGCACCAGACGGTCCGCGCGGCCCCTCCCGGCTGCCTCGGGGCGCAGATTCCGCCCGCCCGCCCCTCCCCGGCCGAGGCGCCCCTCGGGGTGACCGACTGACCGGAGCTCCGCTGGCCCACACACCGGGTCGCCCGCTCCTTCCCGCCGCGCCCCGCTCCCCCGCCCGAGCTTCCAGCCGCCAGGCTCGCCAAGTCCGGCCGCGGCCGCCGGTTACCGCCCCCAGCCCGGGGGGAGCCCGGGGGGCAGGACGGGGAGGGAGGACGTGGCGCGCTCGGAGGTGGCCAGCGGCGGGGCGGGGAGTGTCCCGGAGAGGCCCAGCGGGGGCGGGGGGACGGGCCGGCGCGGGCTTGGGGCCCTCCCCGCGAGCATCCCCGAGTTCGAGGCCCCCGGCCGCCCCCGCCGGCGTGGAGAGGCGGCCCCAACTTCCAGCCGCACTTCGCACACCCGCCCTCTCCCCTCCACCATATGGAAATCTGCAGCCTCGGAAAGTGACACGTCGAAGATTCCTCGGCCTGGCCGCCCGCTCTCCCCCCCGGGCAGCGTTCCTGCCGCGGAGATTCCGGGAGGGGGAGCGGATTCCTCGGACAAATCTGCTGGGAAGGCTGGGGGTGGGGGAGGCCGCGAGCCACGGCCCAGGTTTTTTTTTTTTTTTTTTAAGGAGGAATCTCCCCGTTTCTTTCACTCCTCCAAACCCTGAGGAGGGGGCACAGGCGCGGGCTGCCCCTCCCGGATCCCGTGTTCCCGGGGCGCCCCCGCACTCCGGCGCCAAGTTGTGCCGGGAAGCCCAGGGCGCTCGCGGGACGGGCACGCACTTCGGCGGACTCCGCGTCAGGCCGGGGCTTCCCGGCGCCCCGCGACCCGGCGGTGGAGCGCGGCTCCCGCTCCCCTCCTGCCCGGCTCCCGCACGCCTCACCTTCCCGGGGCTGAAACGCAGGCTCCGGGCGCGCCGCACACCGGGCCGCCCACGCCTTCCCAGCCGGCAGCCCCGAGCGTCCCTGCCGCCCCCTCCGCCGCTCCCGCCGCGCTCCTCCTCCTCCAGCCGCCGCCGCTCAAATAACTACCAGGAGGGTTCGATGGGGGATTCCGCCATGTCAATGATGTCGTGACCACATGGGGCTCTGGGGCCCGCCCACTACCGTAAACCACCGAGGACACCTGCAGCCGCAATCGCAGACTCGCAGAAGCTGTGGGGGCCTCGCCTGTCCCCCCGCCCTGCCCAGCGAAGCAGAAACTTCTTTTGGTTCAGCCAGACTGAGGAAACCTGAGGCTCAGGAATCTAACAACGCCTGAACGGCCAGGGCTGTGCGTTCTGCAGATCGCCAGAATAATATGAGAGCAGTGTTTACTCAGTAATAAGCCTAAGACTGACTTTTTTTCATTTACACGTATATTTCCCTTTCTGTTGTGGTTAATCCCCACAGCAACCTTGTGAGCTATATTACTCCCCTCTCTATTTCCCACAGCATTTTGTTCATACAGTTAACAGTATAAGCAAATGTTATTATACTGAAGTTAAAATATCTATTTCCTCCTTTTTGTTCTTGTTGTTTGTTGCTTGTTTTGGGGACTGCAGGCACGGGGCAAGCATGAGCCACCACACCTTTTTTTTTTTTTTTTTTTTTTTGGTAGAGAAGGATTCTCAGTAGGTTGCCCACGCTGGTATGGAACTCTTGAGCTCAAATGATCCTCCCACCTCGGCCTCCAAACTGTTGAGTTTACAAGCATGAGCCACCTCGCCCAGCCTTATTTCCCCTTTCAATACCCAATTCGTTTCTCAAGGACGGAGACTGTTTCTTGATTTTATCTTTATATCTGTAAAATATAGCACAGTGCAAGGACCACTATAGGTCTCAGTAAATAACTGTTGAGTTTATATTAAGTCAAATGTAATGTATTTCTGTTGTACAGGCTCAAAGAAGTTAACAGACTGCATCCCATCCCACCCCTCAAATTATCCAGGAGACAAGAGAGCAAAACTCAGCTTAAAGAAGCCCCTTCCATCCATAGTGGTCCAGGTATTCTGATTAACTACGTTCAGCCTCAACTATTAAGCTACAAAGGAGCATTCAGTGAGTCACCAGAGACATTATATTACTTTCGTTAATCTAAAATATATATATATATATATACACACACACACACAGTAACACTACATAATACTCTATTAAAGTCTAACGAATACAAAAGAACACTGAGAAATAGCTCCTTCCCTTGTACAATTTGCCATTCATTCTTGGAGATTTTTGCCTTTTTTTTTTTTTTTTCTTGGGAAGCAATGGTGAATCCAGGGAAAGGGAACCTCTTTTGTAAATGGCTTATTTACTGGGCAGCTCCTCACAGGGGAACTTGAGGCAATCTTTCTAAAACATAATTCCAATTCTAGGTCATAGTCCTGCATAAGGAGGGGGGAAAAGGCAAATTCTTGTCCTGGCATAGACCCCATTTGAGTCCAAATGCCTTCTCTGGCTGCAGACTTTTTGGCTTCCTCGGGTGCCATGCCCTCAGCTCACTTGACCTTTCATGGCCCCAGAAGGTACCTGTGTCCCTTTGTATGTGCCTTCCCTCTGTCTGAAACATACTTCTTCTTCCCTATTTAAGATCACTTACTCGTCCTTGATCTCCAGCTAAAATCAATCCGTCCTTTCCTGCCTGCAGACTCATATCTCTTTTTCCCACAATCTTATTTATTTGAGATGGAGTCTCACTTTATCACCAGGCTAGAGTGCTGTGGTGCCATCTAGGCTCACTGCAACCTCCGCCTCCCAGGTTAAAGCGATTCTCCTGCCTCAGCCTCCCAAGTAGCTGGGACAGGTGCACGCCACCACATCCAGCTAATTTTTGTGTCTTTTAGTAGAGACAGGATTTCACTGGGTTAACCAGGATGGACTCGATCTCCTGACCTTATGATCTGCCCGCCTCGGCCTCCCAAAGTGCTGGGATTACAGGC